ATAGCCTACGGCTGTTCAGGTGTTTGGCCAGTAGGAGGCAATAACATGTAGATTAAGATGCCCTGAGCTGTCTGGCAGCCATCAATTTAATGCATCCTATTCAGGTTTGGGGAAATGCCCTCAGCCATTCCCAGATTGGGCCCTGCTGTCCTGCTGGAATTGGTGTCCGGCACTGGTCCCTGTTGATAGTGAAGTACCTTTGGAAGGCCCACATGGCAAAGTCCGGCAGGACAGGACTAAATCTCTCCTGGTGTTTCCTCCGTCGGGCCCATGGCAGACATGGAAAGGGCTGCCACCAAACCAGAGGCTTCTCCCTGGAGCCCGACTGTAGCGGTAGGCGTCCCCGAGCCCCCCCTTAGCCTGTTTCTACCTACGGTTCATCCTACGCACCATCTCCAGACTGACCTTCACAAAACTCTCCACCCGCCTCTGCCTGGCTCAGACACCTCCAGTGGCTTTTTTGCACCTTGTGTGAAGTATTAAAGTTTGTCACTCAAGGTCTTTAGTGGTCTGTCCCCAAGCTACGTTCCCATGTTCTGAATCTTACAACTCCCTTCTCCTTGGTGTGGGACCTTGCATCAGCTGGGTTCCTGCCAGTCCATTGGCATGCCCCATGCTGTCCCGCCTCCGGCCTCTGTCCACTCTCCTCACCTGGGGAATGACTGGGTGCGGACCTGACTGGAGACCGATAGCCAAGAGGCAGGGTGTGATATACCCGTCCTGAGATTGTACCTAAGCAGGTGGAGTAGTAATTTCAGGTATCACTTAAATTCTAAATCCTCATAGTTATACACAAGACCTTCATTCCACATCCATCAGCCGGACCTTCAGGGCAGGTACCACCATGGAGAATCAGTGCCGCTGGCAAGGAGGACGAGGGCCCAGGGGGCTGGAGCACGTCCCGTTCTGTGTGTTGCTGCTTTGGACGAGGGAGCTGGGAGGGGGAAGGCTTCCAGGAAGAGGTGGCCATGCTTCTGCCTGGATCTTGAAAGATGAATGACTTTAGAAGGAGAAAAAAAGGTGGCACTTCAGGTGGAGGGTGTCGTGTGGCCTTCACGACTGCAGATCAAGGGCCGGGGGTTTGGAGGGACGGGGACACGTGTGGAGGTGTCTGTGCTTACGCCGTCGGTCAGTATTGCTGCCTCTGTCTTAGCTCCGGCTGCTCTATAAGTGACCATGGACTGGATGGCTGATGACAGTGACACCCGTTTCTCACAGTTCTGGGGGTGGCAAGTCCAAGGTCAGGGTGGATCTGATTCCTGGTGGGAGCCCTTGTCCTGGTTGTCAGATGGCTATTGTCTTTTGTGTCCTTCATGGTCGAGAGAGACTTGCAACACTGGCTCTAGGAGAGAGAGCGGGTATGGAGAAACGCTTTTTCTACCAGTTAGAGACCAGTGCGTGGGGTGCTCAGAGGACGGGGACCCCACTAACCACACTCTGGTCCAGGTACAGTCCTGTGGTGCCTGTCCTGTCGCATAGGAGGTCCTGTGGATCTCAAGAAACCAGTCAATTCATTCTTTCAAACAGTAATAAAAATTATTCTATGTCTAAATGTGGAATGAACAGCCTCTATAGTTGTCCACATTTGGGTGTCTTTTAGGAGAAAAATACAGATTGCTTGTTTTGTTGCTAAAATTCAACTTTTTAAAAACTTAAGTAAGATAAAGACTTGCCCCAAATAGCGTACAACATGAGATTAACAACAAAAAAAATAGGATATGAGCCAGCCAGTGTGGCTCAGTGGTTGAGCATCCATCCATGAACCAAGAGGTCATTGGTTAAATTCCCAGTCAGGGCACATGCCCCAGTTGTGTGCTTGATCCCCAGTAGGGGGCATGCAGGAGGCAGCCAATTTATGTCTCATCGATGTTTCTATCTCTCCATCCCTCTCCCTTCCTTTCTCTCTAAAAAATTAATAAAAACATATTTAAAAAAATAGAATATGAATCATGAGTTGGGACAAATATAGACTGTCTTGGTGCATATATAGTATATGGTGGTTTTTTCTTTTTAATGCTTCAGATATTTTAGGTTTTCTGTTTGCTTCCAGTTGAGGGAGAATATATTGCATTCCCTTTTTGTCAGGAAGATTTGAAAAGGTAGGATGGCTTTCTTGTTGTTCTGCAGTGACTGACCAGGCCCACCTAAGGGGCGGCCCTTCTCTTTACTCCTCTATAGCAGGTGAGCCATGCGGCGGGAGCATGCGGTGGGTTCCTGGGCGAAGGCCCAGTCCCTGGGTGTAAAGAAAAGAAACTGGTGTAAAGGAAATGAATCCGGTGACGTAGACCTTTTGTCTGATGAGCGGACCGGGGCCCAGCCCCTGTGGGGCACGGAACAAAGGCAGACCTGCTTTTCCTGCACCTTTGCCCACGGGTTTGTCGCACCTGCAGAGGCGTGGCCTGAGTTCAGCAAGCAGCTGCAGGCACACTGGGCGCTCAGCCTTCGGAGTTGATTCTTCTCTGCTGGACATGTGACCAAAACAGGGTCTTTGAAGAAGAGGAGGGGCCGAGGGAGGGCTGGGCGGGCAGGCAGGTCAGACTTAGTTTAGATAAAATGATAGTGGAAGTACAGCTTTAATTCTGCTCCAGGTTGTACTGAGAAAGCTGATCGAGATCGCAGGAAACGAGGCCTCAGAGGTGCGCTCTGATCCGTGGAGAGATGCCGGCGCAGATGGAGTGGCGGGATTACTGCCCGGTAATCCTTCCTTGTCCTGGAGGATTAGGCTGCCGGGGCCATTTTGGTCAGCTGACTGTTAAAAACACACAGAACAAACCTGGTTGTTTCTTGTGCCAGTGCCCGTGTGGCGTTGCTGGAACTGTTGGCACCTGTGGGCCCTCCTTTGTTGACCCAAGAGAGCTGTTCCCTCGCTGGTTCCTGGTTCTGTTGCCCGCTCCCCCCCCTCCCAGGGAACAGCAGCTGGGGAGCAGCAGCTGGGGGCAGCGCCTCCTGGGTTGCTGGGTGAAGTCCTTTATCAAACGCCTGTGCGACTGTGGCTGTGAGGCTCCGGGAAGGAGGCCCGTCTCTAAACCCCGTGGACTCTTCGGCAGGTGGGGGTGTGGCCGCAGCTGAAGGACACTGGTGGTGGCCAGGCCATGCGCCCCGCATTCTGGAATGGACCTGGGGCGATGGAGGCCGACGAGGACTACCAGTCCCCCTTTGATTTTGCTGCCGGAGTGAACAAGGAGTACCTGTACCTGTCTCCCAGGGGGCATCTGTCGCCGCCCGGGTCGCCGGTGCCGCCGAGACTCGGTAACCACGAGTGTCCCGAGTTCACTTGTCTGTAAGGAAACCTCGGTCCACGGGGGTTGGCCGGGCTTTGAAATGATCCGTGTAAGGAGGGCCGGGTGTGCTGTGTAAGAAGCCAGTGGACAGAGCTTCTGCAGATTCCAGGCAGAGACAGGGCTGTTACATGCGCAGCGTGAGTGTATGTAAATGCAGAATGTGTGCGTGGGCTTTAGAGTCACTGCTTACATGAGTGTGAGAGCTCTTCTGCTCACTCGGAATTCATGAGCTGATAAGCAATCTATAAGCGGGGGTCAGGCCTTTGTTCCCAGTCGCCTGTACAGTTTCTGAAGACATCTGCCCCTGGGTTTTGTCTTCGCTAAGATGACAGCATTCTGGGTCCTACTTATGTCGGAGGTGGTCCTGGATTTTGTTCTGGAACATGAAGAGCAACATTTGGAAACACCCAGGCAAGAGGTCTTTTTAAGTAGGAAACTCAAAGCGGCTGTTCTTTTGGCCATTCCTGCATCTGCTTGCTCCAGAGTATTCTGAGGCCAGGGCTGCCGTCGGGGTCAGGGTTTGAGTGTCCCGAGGGCCGGGCTGCGGTCAGGGCTCCGGGCGCACAAGCACTGGGCTGCACTGAGTGAGGGCAGCCGGAGCATCACACGGCAGTTCGCTTGTGTCACAGCTGATGGTCCGCGGCGGGAAATGACCTCATCTGTAACTTACCAGAGAAGTAAGCAGATTTTCCTAGAAGTTCATTTTCTCCTTAATTTGCTCTTTGTAAGCTTAAAAAGTGGGTAATTTAGGAAGAAATGGACCAGTGTGCAGCATGAAACCTAGTTGTCAGTGTTCCGGTCGCAGTTTGCACCTTCTCTGAGGGATTGGTGGCACCTGCAGCCCCGTGGGGTGTGGTCGGGATGTGCAGGAAGGGAAATGGGGAGGATGCAGCTAGAGCTGGTCCCTGGAGTTGGGAGCTGGCAGGCAGCAGCCTGGTGCCGCTGGGCCACCTCGGACCTGTCGCATAGGGGTGCCTTCCCTACGCCTGCGCCTAAGGCTGGGCCATCCGTGCTGACCTCTAACCCTGTGTGCAGGGGCTGCCCCAGAGGAGGGAGGGGGAGTTCGCAGTCGAGGGCAGAGTGAAACCGGGCGCAGTGCCTGACTTCAGGGTGAGCTGGGGTCCACGTGGCCCCAGGAGGATCGTGGTGCTGGCCTTAGTTCTCAGGGGATCTGTCTCGGCTCCTTTCACTTCCCGTTGTCATAGTTGCTTCCCTCGGATGTTTTCTGTTAGAACAAAAGCAGTTGGTAGGGTTTGGCATGTCCCGGGGCACCTTGCCAACAATTAGTATTTTAGTTCCCAGGCGCAGCCTGTAGGGATGTGGGCTCACAGGGTTAAACACAAAATTACGAGACAGCAAAGTGACCAACAGACACCAAACTCAGGTGCCCTCTAGGGCTCAGATACAGAGGTTTGCTTCAGTTGGAAAAAAGGAGGGGAGAGAGCATTCAGACAAGTCACTGTAGCCACCTTCTAGTAAGAACAGCTTGGTTCTCAAATAGCAAACGGAGGGGCCTGGCTTGGTCCTCCCAGTCTGTCCCGGCCCCTCGGGCACAGGCGGCCATCTGTTTGAGCATCGGTTGGTGCAGGGGCCTGGGTGGAATGGCTCCTGGGCCTTCACTGTGCTGGTTCTCATGGCTTCTGGGTAGGACTCTCAGGCCGACGGACCATCCATCCATTTACAAGCTCCTGTGGCTTTTGGTCACTATCCGTTTTCTTTTTTTTTTTTTTTAATATATTTTATTGATTTTTTACAGAGAGGAAGAGAGAGGGATAGAGAGTTAGAAACATCGATGAGAGAGAAACATCGATCAGCTGCCTCTTGCACACCTCCTACTGGGGATGTGCCTGCAACCAAGGTACATGCCCTTGACCGGAATCGAACCTGAGACCTTTCAGTCCGTGGGCTGACGCTCTATCCACTGAGCCAAACCGGTTAGGGCTACTATCCGTTTTCTTAATCAGCAGACGAGACGTGATCACGGACTGACGTTCAAAGGAATCCTACGCAGAAAGGTTGGGAACAGGGATCTGAAACACATATTCTTTGATATTTATCCAAAATGCCATCACCGGGCCAATGAGGAAATGATGAGATTTAATCTATGGGCAGAGTGTTCCTGAGAAGCAGTCTGCGTTCAGGGGAGGAGGAGGGCTGGCAGCTGGAGCAGAGAGGTTGTTATCGGCCGGTCCGGCTGGCCCCTGCTCAGAAGTGCCTTCGACTTCTTGACCCCCAGTCCTCATCAATGCCCCTGTCAGCGGCTGGAGCAGAACTTACTCTTCCCATGTGTGATGAACTCTGAGATTTTATACTGTTCCATCGATTCTTTTGAAAATGGGTTTCACAACCCATAGTCGGAAAAACATTGATTTCTAGGAAGTTTCAAAATCTGGAATATAAGCTCCATTAGAGATGCTAGTCTTCCCCAGCACCTGGAATAGTGCTGGAAATCTGTGGCTCAACACATATTTGCTGAATGAATGACTGACTGGATGGATGACTGGATGGATGGATGGATGAACGAATGGATGAAACTGGCAAGGGCTAGTTCACACTCTGGTCCATTTTACAGATGTGAACATTGAGGCCAAGAGAGGTGTTGTGAACTCCCCACATCACAGAGCTCAGTTCTTAAGCCAGTGTTTGATTTGTTGTTGTTTTTTCTTTAGTTCCCACTAGTTTGGCCTCCGTGGTGAGGATATAGAGCAGGTTACTCACTCAAGGGGTAACTTCCCTTTGGTGAGGGTTACTGGACTAGTGATTCTTGTGCCGTGTGACCTGGACACTGTGTCGTCTGCAGTGGCCGGTCACGGGCAGGTCCACGGGCGGTGGCTGGCCGTTTTCTCTTTCCTTCTGTGACCACCCACCTACCAAGACCCTTTCCCAACGATAGTTACACCAGGTCTCTTCCTCTTCAGGGTTCCACAGTGTCCAGGAGGTTGCAATCCGGCTTATTAAAAAGCAAACTTGGTTTGTTTCTAGTGATTTCAGGAAGTAGGAGTCATTAAAAAACCTGACATACTTAATGCAGTCATATTAAACCTGAAAGCACTGGAAAGAACACACGAAGCGGAAATCCCTTAGCTCAGAGGCCTCCTTGTTGCTGTTTTACTTCCCTTGTGATTTCTGCTCTGGGTCATGCTCTTCCTTTTAGGAAGCGGTGAATCACGTCTTGAAAGTTTTTCATGATTGCAGAGGTCTTAGCACACTTACCGAGGGTGCACCGAATAAAAAAATCAGTGCAGGATTAAAGAAACGGAGACCCTCCTTTTTCCTAGAGAGGAGATTTAAGGGTGGAAGTGACTTCCCCTCTGGGAACCCCCCATCTCTCCGTCCTCCTCTCTTCTGTGGGGTGCCCCCTTATGAGTCTCGCATTTGGTTAGGGCTGTGGGGGATGATGGCTCCAAAAGCAGTGCCTGAAGATTTTTATTTATTTTTTTAAGATGGAGATTTAAAGGTCCATTTAAGAATACCTGGAGGAGCCCTGGCTGGTGAGGCTCAGTGATCAGAGAGTTGGCCCGAGCACCCAAGGGGGCGGGTTCGAATCCTGGTCAAGGGCATGTCCCTGGGTTGCAAGTTCAATCCCCTCCCGTCAGGGTACCTGGTTCCAGAGGGAACCAGTCCATGTGCCTCACATTGGTGTTTCCCTCCGTCCCTTCCTCCCTCCCTCCCTTTCACGTCTTAAAAATCAGTGGAAAAACTATCATTGGATAAGGATAGTAACAGCAAAATTCATTTAAGGAGTGTAATTAAAAACAGGAATACCTGGAGGGGGCAAGTCAGGCGTTTGGAAATACTAACGTGTTCTGCCTGTGTCAGCTCTCCTTCCTCCCCCACTGATGCTGTGGGAGTTTGTGAGGTGAGGAATTGGAGGGTGACCTTTTCGGGGGAGCCGGTCTTGGGAGCAGGGCTGGCCTCCAGCTCCCGTTCCCTCTGTGCTTTAGTGCCCTCCTCAGCCCTGAACCGCCCAGGGCATCTCCTGGGTCCTTGGGTCTCTCTCAGGGGGTGGCACAGGCTTCCTGGTTTCCCTGTTCCTGCTGCCGGCTCTGTGGTGGCCCATTTCCCCCTCTGCGGTTTTACTGACCTCACCACGGGCAACCGTGGGAAATGACAGCCTCAGGAACTGAAAGTTTCCATGGCTTGTGCTGCTGAATCTCTTCCACAGAGAATCGACGTCGAACAGGAGGCATCAGATGCCCCTTTGCCTAAGTCCCTGGGTTTCCCCCGGGCAGGCAGGTCGCCACCTCCCTTTAGGCATTTGGCCACTTGAGGAGCTGATGCTGAGCTGCCTTTGTCACAGCTGGGCGTGGGCAGAGACTGCAGCTGGCATCGTGAGAGCAGATGCCACACGGATGAGGCTTGGACAGCCCCCACACGGAGTCACCTGGCTCAGGGTGTCCATCAGGCTGTGGCTGAGAAGCCCTGTGTTAAGTGGTCCTTAGTGTGTGGGGCCTCCCGAGAGGACCGCTGTGGGGGGCCCTCTGACTGTCGCCTGCACCTCCTGGGAGTCGTTATGTCCAGAAACAGAGAGCCGGGCACAGGAGTGGGGGCCCCGAGCACAGACTTACAAGGGGAAATGCCTTTACCTTGTGAGCTTTTTGGATATTACACGAGAGACATTCCTGACCATAAGTTTTACCTCCTTTTGTGTCTCTTGGTTTGAAAAAGGGGGTGCCTATTTTCCTCTTGTTTGTGCTTAAATAAAACAATCTTTAGACACTGACGTTTCTTATTCCTACTCTGGTCTTAAAATATTGTTGCCCCTTTAAGACTAAGAGGTGGATACGGTTTTGTTGACAGAAATTTCTGGGGCTTGATTATAACTCTAACCAATTAGAGATGTCCCTGTCGGGGTGGCTGCATTCATGTTGTCCCTTCTGTGAGGTCGCGGGCGCCCTGCACGCGTGGCTCTGTGACGTGAAGGTAGGGGCCTGCTCCAAATGTAACAGTCCTTGGATAGGTTATGAG